CCCAAGGGACTAATAATAATAATAATACTCATCGACGTGGGTAAACGTGTGATATATGGGACACAGGGATGCCAACAGTTGCGTTTTTGGCGGAACTTCTCTACCCTCAGTATCAACTAGCAATGGTTTAGAAGCCACAGTGGGCTACGCTTTGAAAACCACGGCACACTACTGGTTGGTAGCGGCTTGGAGTTTCAGGACACTCCGGGAACTACGTAGAACGTTTACAAAAATAAATGATGGTGTGGTTACCATATTATGCCCACAATCAGTTGAGTTTTAACCAAAAAACCATGTACAGGCTGCAAACCTATGTCCGAAAGGTGGCTGAGACCACCCTACAGGATCCGGAGGGCACCCATCCGTATGATCTCTCTGGTGGCTGGTCTAACGTATGAATATCGGCCTAAGGAGCTGTGCCGCATTACATTATTCTGTCACAGAAAAAAGGTGGATCTAACCATGCTATACAGGAACCTAAGATATGGCTTCGGACCTGATCTCTCCTTTTTTCCTTCCCATCGGCAACCCTTCGTTGGGGGTAGTTTTAGCCAAGGTTCCTTCCTTATGTAACTTATTTTCAGTGGCAACCAGGCCAACATTCAGAAATGAGCCACCCTTCTACGACGAGAGAAGACAAAAGCAAAGAAGAAGGCAGCAAGAATTCCAACCAGAAATGTGGTTCCTGTGTCCATGTTTTTCCTTACTTGACTTTCTTTGCTATGGCATTCGCGGTACGTGCTTTCTCTATCAAACACTTGACAACATCAGTCCCATATTAATATATATTGCTTATGACCTCTGTTTATCTTCACTGCGTCGAGTGGGCCGGAGTATGCTGTTGGTATGATGTGAGAATTTATGGTAAAAGTGCCCCAAAGTTATATATGAAAGGTCACGCGGGTGCGGCGTATGCCTCATCGGACATTAATGTCTAATATATTTAGTTTCGCGAGGGAAAACGATGGCCTACTCAATAATCTGGGTAAGTTACAACAAGATAAGAATTTGCCTGATAAACTACTAAATTCATGGGTCGACTTGGAGGCCTTCACCTCATCAGGCAGTCTGCTCCAAATCTCAGAGAATTTTACTGTGAAGAAATTTGCACGCAGATAGGATTTAATCGGCTTCATTGTGGCGTTGAAGGTGTGGTTTTGCAGATCGCGGCAGCTGTTGTGTCCCAACTGGAACCAACTACTAGCTGCAAAGGCCAGTGTATACAGCACGTTAGAGAAAAGCGCCAGGCTAGTTTTGAGTGGCCTCGTCTGAAGGGGTTCCAGGTTTAGAGTCATGCTCGCTCCCTCCTTTTTTAGCTTGTCGTTAATGCGAATACCACTCAACATAAATGGTAGTATTCAAGGCTTATAAAGTAGGGATTTGGCGTCTTTGAAGTGGAAGTTGCGGATTACGCATCCCAGTGAGATTCTGGATTTTAGAGCCTGTGGCGTGACCTTTTCAGGAAATGTGAGATCACCTTGGTGTGTTAGCCCAAGGTTAAAGGTACCTTGAGGAACAGGTAGTTTCACAGACTGAGGATGCAGTCAGATGTCTATCGATAAAGCACTAAATAATACCCAGCAACGTTTACCTGTGCTGAGCTAAAATTTCCAAGCAATAAACCAGGAGGATATTGTATCAAGCTGCCTTTGTACTAATGATTGAAGCTGGATAAATCAGCAGGAGTGAATGCGTACGCAGCCCTTAGGTCATCAACAAACGATGACGGTTCACTGCGTGTAAAGTAACTGCAAATGTCATTCACGCACGAGGTAAAGTGAAGGGGATCCAATACACTGCTTTGAACCGTACCAGAGGCGACTGGCTTAGGTTTTGAAGTGTGTCGGCTGATCATCACCACCTGAGCGCACCTACTGAGGAAGGACTCAATCCATCTTAGTGATGGACAGTCCATCCCCAGAGGCTTTAAATTGCTTATCAGCGGTAAGTGATCATCTACATCAAACGCCTTTGAAATGTCTAGATAAGGTATGAGGAATAATGGGTGGCGGCAACGAGCAATCGTTACAAAGTTAAAGAAGTCAACATGACGAGTTATGCAGGAACTCGATTTTTAGAACCCATGCTGACCAAGTAGGTATTGAAGAACGCCCCCTTAATAATTTTCTCCATAATTCCAGAAGTTACTGGCGCGCTACTTATTTGCCTATGGTTACTGGCTGTCGATTCCGAACCGGGTTGGTGTCTAGGCAGGATAAACGGTGTGATTAGAAGGTTCTAGATATGTGCAAACGACTCAAGTAATAGTTATAAAGTACCCAGACCACCATATTTGCAGAAGTATTGTGGTATTCCATCTGAGCCAGCGCTACTGCAGCATTTTAGTGCCCTAATATCTCGGTTAATATTAGAATAGAGAATCCAGTTGTGTCTGTTGGAGTTGGCGGAGAAGAGTAGTCTTTTGTGGTGCAGACCTAATTGGTACCACAGGAAAGATTGTTTGGCTCCGGATAACTAACTGGAAGTATATCCGTGAATATTTCACATACGGTACCGCCTTTAGGTCACGTTTTGGAAACATGGGCCGCACGTCTGTCGTAAGAGGCTTCATGTTTTGGCAAATACCAGGTCAAGCACATTGTCGTCTTTCGTAGGAGTAGTTAAAATTTGTCCGCACCCAAGAATATCCACTGAATGGTGTCCTCCCTTCTGTATCGTTCAGGACAGCTCAGTTGATGGAGGTCTCTACGCCATTATCAATCTGATGATGCCTGTAAACTGGCTTCACTCTTGTTTAATTCTTAATTTGAGAATGAAATATCTATTTATTCGTTCAATGGATCCTTAGGCTGAGAGAAGGAATAATTTACATCCTATACGAAGGATGCACTTTAAGTTATAAGTCGACGCTTTGTGCTCATGGATGCGTATGATTTTTAGGCAGAAATGAAAACCGTGTTTACTAAGCATAAAAGCAACATACAAAGAGGAAGGGGAAGCAGTTCAGTAACTTCACCGTCAAAGGAATAATGCTAGCCTAGGTACGACCCAATGTACGGTGACTTGACTATGCCTCGTGCAGCCATCTCGAGAAAACCTGGTGTCTGACATCGGGCATTGCCAAACTATGCCAATTGTTGAGTCATGTGCATCAACACTGATGCACAAAACAGCATTCAGGCCCTAATGGACGAGCATATTTGCTTTTTTGGTGGATTCGTTGACATCAGAGGACGGAATTCCAGACACACCGTAGGGTCACACACTTTGTATTTACCCGGATTATTTCTGAGTGATCTCATAAGGGAATCGGAGTTCAAAATAAACCTCCGGTAACATTCTGCCAGGCCGTTGAAAGTACGAAGTTGTTTCGCGGTGGTCGTCTCAAGGCAGTCCACAATGGCTAGCACTTTAAATGTCAGCGGGCACACATATTTGTTGCCACTAGTATGACCGAGGATGTCATGCTAGTCGGCTCCTGTTTAAAACCTCCAGTTGTTGACAGTGATGCTATGCATCTGCAGCATGCGGGATGAGGGGCACTTAAGGTTAGCTTTCGAACGTCGACTCAAAGTGAGGTAGTCGTGGATGTATACATTTACGAAATCTGAACCATGGGAGACATCCATTAAACGCTGCAGTATTTATACTGCGTTCCGAAGACCAAACGGCATGCGAAGAACATTGAATATTTCACAAGGTATTTTCAAGATATCTTCTGCTGCTAGGAGTACCTGACAGTATGCTCTAACCAAGCCAGTCTAGGAGTAAACAGTAATTCCGTAAAAAGTAGTAGTCTGGAGCTGTTTTGGTGTTGGAGGCCCATCGCTTCTACCCTGTCCGATAGTTTGAAAACACTGAGTTTAGGTATTTGATGGAATTCATTTCGCGCTATTCCAAGATTATCAGGAGCTAGGTGGCGCGCTTTAGATGCCACAAGTAAACCTGTGGTTGTAGCATATGGCACTGCTGTGCGTTGTCTCTACCCCGGATGATTTTTTACACTCAAATGAGACAGTTCGATCGAGTGTTTCCCTCTAACTGAGGCTAAACTCGGGCCTACGCAAGTGTTTCAATCAATCGGTAACGCTGAGTTGTCATCTGTTAGTCGTACTCGAAGCCCAATTCAGAATACGCCACAATAATTCATCAAAGTCTATGCAAATGCTGGGCATGGAAACCCTAGACCAAAGAAAAATCCTTTGGATTAGTTTGCGTTAACCTAAGTTGTGGCAGACATACTCTCTTCCAAAAGTTGCGATCGCGTTGCAACTGGTTGCTCATACATAGAAGAATGTGTTCCGGTGATGTTCGTTCGTAGATACAGAAAAAACGATAAGTTCCGCGCTGTAGTGCTAGAATTTTTTCCGTGTCGGTGGAGTATAAAAAACAGTTTCTTCTGTTAACTGTGGTTGACCTTGGGCGTGCTGTTGAGGCCATCGAACGTCCGTTGGCTAATAACTACTCACATGCGTGCAAGCACATGCGTTGCGGAATCGTTCTTGAACTCTAAGCTATGGAGCGATTCACTTGAAAGTCAACAATCCCTGAAATCACTTTTCTTCAGAAGGGATACTTTGGCAGTGCTAACGAATCGCTTGCTTCAGAGTCCAACTTATTTGCTGTGAGGTAACTCATTAGTTTTTGCTGTAATGGCAATATCTGGATGGAGTGTGGATTGGGTTTATTATAGATTACTTTTAAGGTCTGTCTACACATAACTGCACGAGTTGGTGATGTTGGAAAATAATAGCTAACAAAAAGGAAACAAAAATGAACAAGTGCTAAAAGAAATGTGCTTACCAGTTTACGAATCTTCCTCACTTGAATTCGATGGACAAGCAAGCTGATCATCAACTCTTCGTACCTGTAGAATATCCGTGATTACAGGAAACATGAGATACTGGATACTGCTTACATAGGTTGTATAGGTAGTTTATAATCATGAATCTTCCTTTCCGGGTTATGACACTAATCAAGCGTATTAACGAGTTGTAGACCTAAAGAATTTTATAATTCACGCATTGTGAATGTTGGAAGTTGATTGGTCATTTCGCGAAAATGGTCATTCGGAATACATGGTTAAAATTAGTCGTTTGAAGGTTATTCTTCAACCTTGGGAGGGGTTAGTTATTCGGTTGCTGACTCACTTGGTAAGATTAGTGTATAGTAGCACCTTGTCAAAGAGCAGAAATGGGTCTTGTTTCGTCATCTCTTTATGTAAAATGTTCTTTTCCTCTTTTTTTCACGGTAAGTGGCATGTGGAACATGTTCCAGTGCTCAGGGGGAATCTATCGTTTTATATATTCACTTCCTTTTTCAGTCATGAATGGTGAATATCTTGGTGTCTATGTTCTTAGTTATCCTAATTTCTCTGGGGACGTGCACAAAGTTAACCTGGTACCCGATAAATATGCCGACTTTTAGGATTAAAATAAGCGCATTGTCTACGCAGTCAAATACGAATGCTGAAATGCAGGTCAGTGCATTGATTAGGAATGCTGAAATGCGACACTTAAGCAACGTTTGACGGACTACACACATAATCTACGAACTTCCAGAATAAGCTTGCATGTGTAAACGCGGCTTTATTTACATACACCCCTCCCCTTATTTCAGCACTCTCCGCATTATTGCAGCGGTTCAGTGAACATTTTTGACACAATTCTTATTACTTACGCCTCGCTCGAAATATTAGTGTCATTTACCCCATCATAATTGCGGAACTATAATTCCGCAATATAATTTGACTGGGTATACCTAGTCAAATCAATGACTATAGTCATGCTTGCTTTTACAACACTTTGTCTATCAACATTCTCAGCCCGTTTGGATGAAATGAAATATGCTGCTTTCATAAGCTGAAGCAGCTACCATCATTACGACCACTTAATGATTGCAAACAGGCATACAGATGCTGTGTATTGTCTTGAAGCGATGAAACACCGTGGATCCACAGAAAGGAATACTTTTTCTCCGCCCAATAATTATACTTTTAGCAGGGTGAACAATGTAATCATTTTTTTGGCATGATAAACATTGGATATTCGGTTCTCATACATCACTTAGGCCACATATTACAGCAATCTACTCCACATTCCGTTTGCTTTGCTCTATAATAGTTAGACTGTACAGTTTCTTAATATTTTAGGCCTAGTATGTTTTAGCGTACTAATCAAATAATTCACCTTTTTCTGTTTGGTACATACGAGCACGAAAGTTCATATGACATGATCTCGGTAGTTCTTTAATAAAGGTAGTAGATTGATTTTAAATCACTGATTGCAGTTGTAAGATTTTATATGCATTTCTACACTTAGATATGACTCAAACTTGTTGCCCCTCTCAGGTAAAAATCCATAGATGCAAGTATATTTATGGGACTAGGATGCAGTCTTTTAGGTTACAAATACGGTGAACCAACTTATGGAATCGTCTGAGCCCCTACCACTTAAACCTGTTTTAAATTTCCTGTATTAAACTTAGGTCTACGGTTTGGAACCTAAACTGCTGATTTTTAGTGTCTTACGAGTAAAATATGCAACGCGCAATATCTCATCAAGACTTTTATACAACTGCACCAGTAAGTTTAATTCACAATAATATCCAGACACACTTTCCCTAGGTTGTGTTACAGTATTAAGGATTTTTCTTATAGACCAGTAGCTCGGTAGACTTCAATGAAGCGAGTGTGTCCCTGACATCTTCGGTAAATATAGCACCCAACATATCTATTATAGTGGGTAGAAAGGTAATCTAACAAATATTGGTAAGAAGTGATGGGCCATCGTGTGACTTTCAGCTAACTCTTCATTAACTGAACATTTCTAGCTATCATTTTTGTCAATACTACTTGTGTTTATTTCTTCTCTCTCTATATAAGCAACGGTTTCCTTTGATTTAAACATACAGTACAATAGATCAGTTTTCCAGCCTTCTTGGTTCTCATTCAGTCTGGGTTTTTTAACAGTTATAAAACTAGTTTTGCCAGTACGTCGTAAGTGAACATCACTCTACCATGCTATGCTTTTTCGTGTCTACGTTAGCTTTCCGAATATATCAAGATTTTACCAACCATTTGGTCATTACTTTACAACATCATCATCATTGAACACTGAATGGTCAAAATCTCGGGATAAAACAAATTGTTTGCTGTTCTTGGTCATATATCTCACTTTTATACCTCAAGCACTGTTTACCCTAGCGTGTTAACTAAAATCATTGTACAAGTAAGCTTGAATATAATCCCAGGGTGCTCAAAACAAGGTTTTTCTCAACGTTTATTTGTTTAAACCACCTTTTTTTCGGGAAATTGCATTAAAACTTATGTTTATAATAATTCAGTCAGACCCGGTGATCAAATATTTTCACACCATTAGTAACAGCTGAGATTTAGGTATTTGATAAAATTGCTTTCGAAAAAGCTAAGAATAGCCGAACTGATACTGTACTAATCCGTGAAGGTTTCGTTCGTTTTTGTGAACTATTTGGGGAAATATAGGTTTTCTGGCTATTATCCATTAGACGACGAAACCCGATGGTTAGGGACTTCATAAAGTGAATCAGAATAGGATTGTTCGTTGTAAAGATGCATTCCGGCTCTCTCTTTTCAGATTGTGGCATCAAGTGTCTTTGTTGTCTTTATTTCTTCATCGCTTTTCCCTACATCTTTCTAATATCCCTGATAGTATCATTTTCACCCTATTTGCTCTTCCTGCTACTTTCTATCTTCAAGTGATGTGAGATACATCAATTTAAACCCAAACTGATAAATGTCAGCTCTAACGCTGATATATATATATATATATATATATATATATATATATATATATATATATATAATATAATGTATGTTTTACAAGTGGATCTACTGTCGAAGAAACTAACTTCATAAGCGTTCAGTCATTTGATTGCACGCGACATATTTTCCATTTATTGAAATCTATAGGTTGATTATTTCGGCATTTCTAAAATGTGGCCAGTTGGTCTAAGCATTTGGTTTTCAACCACTGATTTTTAGTTTTGGGGGACCACAAAGCATAGACTCACAATGGGCGTGGCTCGTAGTCAGTTACCGAACCTGAAACTACGCTGGTCATTTAAATTATTTCTCGTTCTACTGCCTAAAAAATAAGTTACTAGGTTTTCCCTTGAAAGTAGTATGGTAATCCATCAGAATGGTTCTTTGCAGTTTAGTTTGCATTGTTTACTTATTGACTAAATCTGACTTGAGCGTAAATGCCAAATAATTTTAAAGAGAACTACGGATGATCTTCATTAAATCAATACGTAACATGAACCAACTGCCCAACAGTTAGTTTGCAAAATCATTATCACATATGAAGCGGCTGACCTTGTCATCATCCTGTCACAAGTGTCGTTTGACACTAAGCATTTTAACTTAATAAAGCTCTTGACTCAGACTATTAGTCATACCGACGGTAAGGGTTAATTTTACTATTTAACTTACGAAATCTTGGTAATTGGAATTAGTTTTAAACCTGCGACTCACAATAAGTCGACTACTCGAATCAATGAATCAAAACACCAACTCCGAGAATTCGTAAATACTGTTGTACACAATCTTAGTCTCCTCACTGAACGATTTATTAAAGTCTCTGTTACTGTTTTAACTTTGGTCGTAAACCTTAGTTTTCAAACTTCCTTTCCGATATATGGGTTTAGCATGGATACAGAAAATTGTGTAATGTAGTATAGTGTAGTAGGCTTATGTAAATCGAAGTTTAAGCATAATTCCTTCATGTTGATTTGTATCTAAAAATTTTATATTAAAGTCTTAGCAAGTAGTCTTAATTGATGGGCTTATCTTTTAAAATACCGAATTTTCAATTAATGTAGCAACATACCATGCACCTAAACGGGGTGTTCTACAGTCTTTCATAATGAACTTTAAAACTGAATGAACGTATCAACCGGTTCCTATTGGCTGACAGAGGTTGTTAGTCAGGAGTAAGTATATCATCAACCTCAATAGTCCGATATTTAATAACAAGGTGTGGTGAATACCATCGAAACTATTCATCGATACATGACTTACGATGATGTACCAGTACTGTGGTTTATTCACTCGGATGTAGCGAATTTACTGGGTGATATGCCCAATTATTTTACTTAAGAGAGACAAGATTCTCCGGAGCTAAAAACCACATCCATGTATAATCTGATCACTAATACGTATCAGTCATTGGTTGGCTGCACTAGATTGCTGTGAAATAAAAAGCCTGATTTCGCAATTACTTAATTTTAAATCTGACTGACGTAGTTTGCTACTACGAAATATTGCCTACTGAATAATTTAAAAATACTGAAATATCACCAACTTCCTTTCACTGTTAGTTTGGTGGTTACCGTATCCTGATGAGACCGAAAGTAATTGACCATCAGTAACAGTAGGTTAAGCGTTGTAGTCTTAGGGAGTGAGGATAAATCTTGTTCTTTGTAGTGCTCGTGGCACAACTCCTGATTTGTTTAAAACAGTACAGAACTAAATGTTATATACTTGTAGATTGTTAAGTTTAACGCTTTAAAATACTATGCTATTAGTCCAACGATGGTTTTTTATCACCGAATGATCAACTAAGTAACTTTCAAAAACTAGGAAACACTGCTTAGCTGTTGTGTTTTGGTGTGAAACGACTCATTGGTTCTCAAAATCTAAAACAACTAGAAACCTTGCATAGTAGTAGATAGGGTAAAATTGTCTCATTCTGCGACTGTCTAGCTTGTGGAATTCTGCAGAAGCAGATCAGTAATATGCTATAAATTCTATGCAACCTTAAGAGTGGATAGATTTGTTCCACACTAATCGGTGTTGAGTTATCTCACTGAGGATCTCTAATCATTAATCCCTAATATCCTGTTGATCTCACGTCCCTATAAAATGCAGGTCAACAGTGTCGACTTTAGGTGAAGGGTATCAAACAAGACAGGCAAGCCAGTCGTCGAGATTTTAAACCTTCATTGACTGAGATGGTTTTGACATATGTTGGGCATGCCAAACCACCGCCTACATCGAGATGCAATGCTACGGGATATTGAATTAGGTTGGACCAAAGAATCAGGATGATCAAGCTATGATGTGGGACTAATGCATGAAGTCTCTAACTATTGGTCTGAGCTGTATGAGGTGTAG